ACACCCCTCACTTAGGCTATGGGGGTGTGTCAAATGTTGTAGCCTGTAGTGAGGTTTGTCTTAGGGGGTACAGAAGTTAGGGTTTGTCATATGTACCCCAACCAACATCAATGCAACATCCATTCCTCATTCTGACAGTAACGCAGGAGAAAAAGCAACCTGTCACTGAGTAATCACAACAAGATTGCTACACCATGGACCACATACAACGTTATTGAGTGTTTTGATTGCACGGGAGGCCGACAGATGTCACTTCAAATAGTCGATCAAAAAGCGCACATGAAAAGAAGAATTGGAGACTGTTTGCATCATCTCAATTAACGTTGATCGATTCAGAGAGTTCAAGTGTACTATTATGCAGCGGAGTTTCACATCCTGACTTGCCAACGCAAAACGCTGTTTGCGATTGACAGCTGTCGATTGGGTCTGCAGGTTTCATTTGTGGGCTCGGTGTGCACCAACGGAAATCATACAGGATGGGATGGGATGCAATGCAACGGTGGGATGGGATGGGATTCCCCCTGTCACAAGACGGATTCTCACATACTTGTCCTACATTGCTTGAGCAGTCCTTTTGTTTTTTGTTTTGAAGCCACCCTGTCAGGCAGGTGAAATAATCTTTGATGGGGCAGGGTCTTTTGGGAATTCATTCGAATGATGCTAGGTAGGGTTCCAGCCCAGGGGAGTCCCAAATCCTATATCATGTGTTGTTTCTCGCCAAATGTTCTACAACGAGCAACAACATCCCAAGCACCCCCGGTGCTCCTTCCACTGCAAATAAAATGGGTGACGCTCGACTGGTCAGAACCCAGGACATCAGTGTCCCCGCCGGGTGATAGCTAGAATGCTCTTCCACTGCCGAAGTACAAAATACCCCCCATATCCGATTGCGCATAAGGAGTTATTCCGACAGTGGCAGGGTCGGAATTAAACACTTTCAATATCACTCGGCAAATAATGATTGAACCACCATATTATCGAATGGTGGGTATATAGTTCTGAAGAGAGGCAAAGTTTGTTGCTCCACATCGCCGCCAGTTGCACGGATGCAGGGGTTCGATGATTTGGTCATTTGACGAGGTTTCCCATGATTCTTCGCACCTGCTTCTCACGGTTGGTCCCGCCAATGGGATTCGAATTGAATGCTAGGCTGCGAACAGCTGTTGCCTGAACACTAATCTCTCACAATCTTGGCCCACCAGCATGCTTCTTGGCAGGAAAGGAATGCATGGTCAAGGTTGCTGTCATAAGGCTGGGATGGATAGGACTGATGCTCTACAGTTTACTGTGACCAAGTGCACAACAGCCTTCTCCTGAGGTACTACCAGCTTGACCTCAGGCGGGAGGCTGTTCTCATATTTCCCATGAACCTCGGACACGTAAACGGATCCCACAAGGGGTCTGCTGCACTCAGTTTCGGGTCGTTGACCCCCATTTCGGTGCAGAAAATGTGACTGAGAGTGTTGAATACATACTGAGATCCGTTCAAGTAACTACGCCCAATTGAATGGCGCGCAGCAATGCCATTCGTGTTCTCTCAGTGGAGATTGGCGGGCAGCCCTGCCACTGCATCAAATCGGTTCCCTGATTTTCTCGAACCCAAGCCGATTTTACCAGCCGTTTTCCAGCCATGACGGAACGGTGGTGGTGGAAGTTCCCCCAGTTGTCGTTGCTCTTGCGTGGCCCCACGCTCAGCTCAAGCCAGAGTCCCTCTCCCTCCTTCCCCCGTTATTTCTCCAGCTTGCCGTTCCAGCCTCTCTCTACCTTTCTCACATTCACCCCCACTCATACCAGTTCAAGCACACACGCTTCAAACCTACAGTCTCCCTTCTCAGCCCTCACTCCTCGCACTGGTTTCCTCTTCTTACCTGCAGTCTCACTACAAGTAACTTCTCTTCCCCTTCATTCTAGCCCTCGGTTACCTCTCTAAAGCGTGATAAGCGCAGATTTAACAGAAAGCCATCATGTGTTTCCCTCCAGAGATCAAGCGTCTGCCCCTCTCGTCCCCGGTCGCGCCCTCCGCGAACTCGAAACCTCGATCCGATGGGCCCCCTTGCCGTCCTCGTGTCTCGGAAGATTTCGATCGAGCAGTTTCACAGTTCATGGCCGGTTTTCAAGCGCAGCAGCCGGTGCAAACACAGCAGAACATCTCAGTCTCTCCACTCGTTGCAGGTCGTCAAACTCTCCAGTCAGCGAAGCAGAACGGGACCGCGTTTCAGAAGCAGGCGGCGAAGCAGGCTGTGAGTCAAGTCGACCTTCTGGCTCAGCTCCAGAGGCGTGCTGATCTAACGGTCACCCGTCAGCAGCCGCTGGCAGCCGTAGGATTTCCGTCTGCTGGCAACAATGGAACATCCTTGACTTTCTCTTCCACTGGCCTAACTGATACTTCTGCTTTGTTATCTGCTGCCCCCCTCCGATCTTCCGCCCCTATTCACCATACGCCTGTTTCCTCCATTCCTGGGATACCCGCGGTTTCACCGCCGTCCGTAGGAATACCCGCATCCTTTACATTGAGCTGTTTACTGAGTAGCGGACCAGGTGTGACTATACCGGGTGTAAATCCTCTCGATAGCAGCATCATCTCGGCAGTATCCCCTCTCAGCAACAACATGATATCAGCTGAAAGCCCTCTAAGCGCTCTTGGGATCAACTTCGCCTCGAGCAGCGCGAAACTGGATTCCGACGAAGACGAGGAGAAGAAAGTCCGCCGGATCATGTCAAACCGGCAGTCGGCGAAGCGGTCGCGGCAGCGGAAGCGCGAGCGACTCGACGAGCTGGAGGAAGAGGTCGCGGCTCTGACGCAAGCGCGCGAGGAGGCGAATCGGAAGCTGAAAGAGTCTGAGACGAGCGTGGAAGGCCTTCGCGCTGCGAATGAGCGGATGGAGGAGGAGGCAGAGCGTTTGCGAAGGGAGATGAGCTTGCGCGGAAGGCAGTCGCAGGTCTCTTCGCAGCTTCCCTCGCAAGTGATTTCGCCTGCCGTTCCCGCAGCGGAATTCTTCGAAGCCGTTCCGGCGTGCGACGAGGCATCGCCTGCGAAGAAGTTGCGAGGGATTGAATACAACGGGGGCGCGGCTGAAGTTATCGTGAACAAGGTTAACAACCCGAGCTCGCCGACTAGTGACGTCACGCGGACTTATTATACTTGTTCTGAAGCAAGTCTTAAGGAAGAAGCTGTCGCTGGGGATGGGTTAGGCTTCTTCGGGGGTGGATTGGGGGCCATGGATGACATGGGATGCTTGCTGGGAGAGGCTCCTCAGGGCTTGAATGTTTTGGATGATGCTCTGGTGAGAGCCATGCTGGAGTGCATGGGTGGAGGCGAGTTGCTGTAGTACACGAGTGTTGCATGGAAGCGGGGCACTCAGCTGATTGCTAACCAATTGTGCTTGTGATCTTAAAGCCCGCAGCCCAAGTTGTTCAACCTTATTAAGGTTGACCATTGGGTGGTGGGGGAGGTGGAGAAAGAATAGTCGAGGTGTTGGGGGGGTGGGTGTAGTTGGTTTCGCCCAGATTTTCGCCACGCTTTGTTTTTCTTGCTGACACAGCAAACACCAGGGGCCAGCTCGTGTTCAGTTGCGAGAGTCCCATGTTGCACAGAATAATATTGAAAGTTTCCCCCTGCTCACGTTTCGCGAACTCAGTGGAAGTGCGCTGGCCAATCAGATTTCTTCTCACAATCCGTAACCCTAGTTCGTGCAAGAAAGAAACCCAAAGCAACCCTCGATCAAGAATAGTAAGGTTGACCAGCGCGACCCGCAACTTGGGCCGCAGGCTTTAAATGACGATTTCACTTGCGAAGTGATCAACTAGTGGTGCTCATTGATTTAATCCTCGTTGTCCATTATCGGAGCGGGGGTGATGGGCTTTCTAGTGGTAAATATAAGTTCCCAGCCTTTCATTTGAAGCATAGTTGAAAAATTACCGCGAGCAGAAATGTTGAGCTGAACTTTCCTAATTAGTTTCTACCGAAACAGTGTAGTTATGTGTTCGATTTTGTTTGTGTTAACTTGGGTGAAGGAGGCGAAACGGCGCATTTCCCACCACACACGGCGAATTTGATCTCCTTGAAACGCGACTCGGCGTTTCACAACAAGCGGCGCGTAAATTTGCGAAGACGAAACGGCACAAAATTTCCACCCAACCTTGGTCGCACAGCTCCTGCCTCCACCTCAATGCCACAGAACAGAACCCTCTACTACGCCTGTGATTCAAATAATCCCCTCTTCATCTTCAGAGTCTAGAGCGTCTGACTGAGAGCGCATAGGAATTTGCGGCATCAATCACTTGCATCGAAGCAGCAATACAGAATTATTTCTCCGAATTTAGTCAATTTTCCTGTGATTAGTAGTTCAATATGTCTCAACCTCTGGATTACCCAGTGCACAGGGAGGCACACGAGCAGTTAGAGAGGCTCTCTCTCGTGCTGCCTCGGAGGCTCCTCGGCGCGCGGTTCTCCACGAAAACGCTCAGCGACGACGGCGAAATTTCGCCGCAGCACCAAAGCGCCTCACTCATCTCGATTGGAAATCTTATCAGGTCGCTTGGTAAGTTCATCAAATAGAAATTATATAATGTGATTATATCGAGGGTTTGAAATAATGTGACAGCCTACACGGCCTTGCTGTTGCACGCCGGCTTTCCAGTAACGACTTGTGATTGCAGGGGGGAGGCCGTCGGAGAAGGACATTCTATCCGGATTCGTCCAACAGCTCAAGCCCGCAGGCTCCTACCATCCGTCAACTGTTGACGGAATCCGTCAGCCTTTGACGCTGCTGCTGACGTCCCGCGCTCTGTACCTTCTCGAGGTGATCAGCGGCTCTGAAGAAGAAGACGAAATTGGAACAAAATCCGATGATTTTATCGCATCTCCTACTGCCACCGCCGCTGCAGCTGCTGCTGCTGCTGCAGCTGCCACGGCTCTGACCACGGTCCCTGTGGAATCGCATCCCAGGACATCCGAAGAGGTTGAGAATTTCGGGGAGGTTACTAGCGCGGATGGAAAGATGAGCCAGGGATCGCAGAAGGGTGGTAATTGCTCTTCAGGGGACGTGACAAGCGAGGGGGGAGGGACGCAAGGGGTCGTTGGCGGGCCGTGTTCGAGCAATAATTCGGCAAGGGCAAGCAGAGGGAAGCTGAGGCAGTGCATCCCGGTGCTGTCGGTGGTTAAGCTGCTGCTGTCGTCGAGCAACGACATGCTCTCCATCGGCATGGTCAACGTGAGTCAATGCAGTCAATGCAGTCAATCAACGCGTGCTTCGGCATTGGGACACGCATGCAAAGAGAGTAGGTACTTCGTCTTTGCCCTTATCTTCTCTCACCACCCTTGTTTCCCCTCCAAACTCCGTCCTCACCTTTCCCCTTCCCCAGTTCCTCCAGGAGAGGGATGTTGTTCTGTGCACGCCGCTCGCGCCCACCATATGCCAGATGGTGATGTCAGCATTCGCAGTGGAAGCAGCTATGGCTGTTGAACAACCTTGCTTCCTTCCCCCTTCGCCTGCCTTCTTTGGCACCCCTCCCCACCACATTCCTTCAGGAGAAAGACGTGGTTTTGTGCACGCTGCTCGCACCCACCATATGCCAGATGGTGATGTCAGCGTTTGCGGTGGAGGCAGCCATGGCTGTTGAACGCGCCCTGGCCCTTAACTCCGATCGCCCACAGCTGCCAGCGTCAACCAGCATCCACGTGGACGTGGTGGTGCGTGTTCATACCAAAACATCACCTCCTGTCAGTCCGTACGTGTCTTGGCGGTAGAGAGACAGCTTTTCAAATGACTTGGGGGTCACTAAGTTATTGGGTCAGGTCAGGATAGAGTGAAAGCAGCACAAGACAGCTCAAAACACCATGAGTGATACGCAGCGAAAGGCAGCACGAGACAGCACAGGACAACAGCACCTGAATGCTCGGGCACAGCATGTCAAGCTCATGCATGAACTTTTCGCTCCATGTCAAGCAGTCAATGTCTAACGTGTGTGCCATGCATTTGCTCGTTGCCCATTTCCGCTCTCCTCCCCTCTCCTCCACCTGTGGCAGGATCAAGAGGAGCTGCTGGCCTCGGTGCGCACCAAGATCAAGGTAAGTGGTGCAATCATTTTTCGTGTACACCCAGAATATCCAGGTTGCTTGCTTCTGTGCCCTCATCCTCAGTCCATTCGCCCTTTTTGGGCAGCTGAATGAACCTTCCCTCGCTCACCATTGCATGTGTTGGCAAAATATTTTTTCCTCCTCCTTTACTTCTCCAGGGAATGAGGAGCGAACCCCTTCTCCTTCCTGTTTCGACCTTCATTGTTTTGAGACGTCTCAAAGAGGGGTTTCCTTCGTACAGCTCAGCTCAGCATCCCAAACTCCTCCTCCGTTCTTCCCCACCCACAACCTCCTCTCTCGCGCTCCTTCGCCCCTCCATCCGCCCGTTCTAATCTTCAGACTAAGCTCACATCTTTCTTTGTTCATGAACGCGATTCCCTTGGTGGTTGAGAATTCCATGGCCCCCCCTTCCCGCTCACCATCCCCCCCCCCCCCCAGTCCATCCGCCCCTTCTGGGCTGTGGCACCGGCACGCGTGTTCCCCTCGTTCATCCATGCACCTTCTGTTTCCCCTCCGTTCTACTGCCCCCTCTCCTCCCCGTCTTCTCCCCCCTCCTCCTTTCCCCCTGCCTTCCCCCCCCAGTCCATCCGCCCCTTCTGGGCGGCAGCATCTGCCCGCGTGTTCCCCTTCTCTGCACCCACCTCCCCCCGTGGAGAAACGGTGGTGGGAGGTGAAGCAGGGGAGGAGGCAGGGATATCACAAGGCTCAGCCGGTGGGGTCAATGCTGCAACTTTGATGGTGAGAGTGATGAGCGGTCATTGCATAGATTGATGGTGCAATGATGTAATTTGATATATCATATAAGCACAGGAAGACTCGTTCCATCCCAGTCATTGCACTTGCACCGCTTCCAACCGCTTCCGAACCCACCCCACTTCTCTCCTCCTCCCCCCCATGACCCAGAATGACGTGTCAATGCAGGATGCTGACATCGTCGCCAGCAGCATCAACGCTGACGTGGCACCTCCTGTGGAGATCACTGATTTTATCCCGCTGAAGGTTCTCGGAAAGGGCAGCTTCGCCAAGGTAACTGCAACCGCCATCAGCCGTGCTCTATCTATAACAAGGTACCATTTGATTAGATCTTGTCCTGCCAAGGGTTCTGAAGCTTCTGAACGTCCCTTGGAAGGTTCTCAGAAACGGGAGCTCAGGTTTGAATGACAATTTCTTACCAATTCAATCCCTACTAGCTTAAGCTCAGCCTAGAGGAGATTAGGACGAGTTAAGACCGTTGGATCCAGGTCGAAACTATTTTTCTATGCTACAAGGTAACAGCAACCGCCATCAGCCGTGCTCTATCTATAACAAGGTACCATCTGATAAGATCTTGTCCTGCCAAGGATTCTGAAGCTTCTGAACGTCCCTCGAAAGGTTCTCAGAAACGGGAGCTTCGCCAAGGTGGCGAGCTTCATCCCAATCAAGGTCTTGGAAAGTATTTCTTCAGTGCCAGCTTTGCCATCCCGCCCACCGTCTTTGACTATACTACACCTTCCGCTTTCGAATGTGACTTTTGAGTCGACTCAAAAGTCGCCTCCTTCCGCCCACCGTCTTTGACTACTACACCTTCCGCTTTCGGATGTTGTTGGCCCGTCAGGCCCCCAGCGGGCAGGTGCTTGCAATGAAGGTGCTGGACAAGGAAGGCAGTGAGTGAGTTGAGTGACGTGCCTGCTGAGGGCGTTGAGATTCCGTCCCTCCCCCACCCCAACGTCCCTCCAGGTGCTGCCGGTGCGCCATGCCTCCATCGGGCAGGTGTTTGCAATGAAGGTGATGCTGGACAAAGGCGGCAGTGATGCGGCGACAGCAGCAGAGAAGAGACGCCTTGTGATGCAACCAACACATTGCTGCAACACCATTGCTGCAACACATTGCTGCAACAAAGGTGGTACACCATTGCTGCAACAAAGGTGGTACACCATTGCTGCAACAAAGGTGGTACACCATTGCTGCAACAAAGGTGGTACACCATTGCTGCAACAAAGGTGGTACACCATTGCTGCAACAAAGGTGGTACACCATTGCTGCAACAAAGGTGGTACACCATTGCTGCAACAAAGGTGGTACACCATTGCTGCAACAAAGGTGGTACACCATTGCTGCAACAAAGGTGGTACACCATTGCTGCAACAAAGGTGGTACACCATTGCTGCAACAAAGGTGGTACACCATTGCTGCAACAAAGGTGGTACACCATTGCTGCAACAAAGGTGGTACACCATTGCTGCAACAAAGGTGGTACACCATTGCTGCACCAAAGGTGGTACACCATTGCTGCAACAAAGGTGGTACACCATTGCTGCACCAAAGGTGGTACACCATTGCTGCACCACTCCTTTCCGTGCCTCTTCACATGCCCCACCCTTTGTCTCTCCAGGTGCTGCTGGTCCGCCACGCTACCAGTGGCCAGGTGTTTGCGATGAAGGTGCTGGACAAGACAAGGTGGCAGTGATGCGACGGCAGCAGCAGAGAGACGCCTTGTGCCCACTGCCATACCCTACCCATGCACCCACTCTCATGATCCCTGGCTCACCCATCCACCCCTCCAGGTGCTGCTGGTGCGCCATGCCCCCAGCGGGCAGGTGTTTGCAATGAAGGTGCTGGACAAGGCGGCAGTGATGCGGCGGCAGCAGCTGCAGCACACTCTCACTGAGCGACACGTGCTGCAGGTGGGTGCGGTTGGTGGGTGTTTGGAAGGGGAGGTTGGTGCGGATTGGACTCAATGTGTATGTGCCTGCAGCAGCTGCAGCACACACTCACACAGCGACATGTGCTGCAGGTGGGTGTGGGTGCGCATGCAAGGAGAGACATGGGTGTGCTGTGTCAATGGGGTGTGTGTATGTGGCAGTGATGTGCCGGCAGCAGCTGTCTGGGTGAGTGTGTACTTACGGAGTGACATGTGCTGCAGGTGGGTGTGGTTGGTGGGTGGAGCGCGGGAGGGGGATTCGTGTGTGCATTTGAATGTATGTGTATGTGTATGTGTATGTGTATGTGTATGTGTATGTGTATGTGTATGTGTATGTGTATGTGTATGTGTATGTGCAATCATATGTTTTTGTGTGTCCTTCCCCACCTTCCCCTTTTCCCCAAATCCCCCCTTTCCCACATCCCGCTTCACCACATTCAGCCTTCGCCTCATCGCCCCATCCCACGCTCCTCCCCATCCCCCCTTCCCCACCTCCCCCCTTCCCTACATCCCCCTTTCCCCAAAATTCCTCTTTCCCAAATCCCTCCTCCACTTCCCTCTTCCCCACACCTCCCTTTCAACACATCCCCCCTTCCCCACATTCCCCCTTCCCCGCATTCTCCCCTTCCCCGCATTCCCCCCTTCCCCACATTCCCTCATCCATTTCTTCATCTCCCCCTCCCGGAGGATGCGTCACCCCTACCTCATTCCACTGATACTGCTGATGATGAATCCGTGATCCTCATGCCTCTCTTTCACCCGCACACCGCACATCCGCTTATCCCCTCACATACTCTCCCCCCCTTCCCCCAGGAGGTGCGTCACCCGTTCCTCGTGCAGAAAGTGAATTCTTGAGACGTCTCAAAAAAACACTTTCTACACGTGGCTCCTCTCCTCGTGCCACGGCGATGGGCCCTCCAGTCCGACACGCGTCTCTTCCCGATTCTGCCGGGCGGGGAGCTCTTCTTTCACCTCACGCGCGGATGCTTGTCCCCCCACTTCCTCCCCACACTCCCCACTTCTCTTCCCCCACTTCCCCCGCTCCCCCCTCCTCCCCCCACTTCCCCCTTCCCACACTTCGCTCATCAACTGAGTCTCCCATTTTCCCCGCAGGAGGTGCGGCACCCGTTCCTCGTCCCTCTAAGATGGGCCTTGCAGTCCGAGACGCGCCTCTTCCTGATACTCAACATCATGAAGGGCGAGGAGCTCTTCTTCCACCTCAAGCGCGGACGGTTGAGCTTGCCTCCCTTTTACCCACACTCCCCAACCCCCTTCCCACGCTCCTCCCACATCCCCCACCCCCAGGAGGTGCGGCACCCGTTCCTCGTCCCTCTAAGATGGGCTCTCCAATCAGAAACTCGCCTGTTTCTCATCCTCGACTTCATGCCGGGCGGGGAGCTCTTCTTTCACCTCAAGCGCGAGCGGCGATTCAAGGACGACCGCGCGCGCCTCTACGCCGCGGAGCTGCTGCTGGCTCTCGGGCACCTGCACTCGCTGGGCGTCATTTATCGGTATGCGACGGGTGTGCGACAGCCGTGCGACTGTATGTGGATGATATGTGAGTGCTGCGGGAAAGGCGCTTCAAGGACGACCGCGCGCGCCTCTACCGCCGCGGAGCTTCTTCTGACGCTGGGGCATCTGCACTCGCTGGGCGTCATTTACTGGTATGTGGCTGTGCGAAACGTGTGCGCCCAGTGTGCGCAAGTTGTGCGACTGGCGTGCGACGGGTACTAGGGGGTGAACGAAAGAGGCGGCGGTTCAAGGACGACCGCGCGCGCCTGTACGCCGCGGAGCTTCTTTTGGCGCTGGGGCACCTGCATTCTCTAGGCGTCATACATTAGCATGCGACTGGCATGCGACGGTTGCGCGACTGGTATGTAACGGGTAGGTCGGTCAAGCGCGAGCGCCGCCGACCTACGCCGCGCGGTTGATATCCCTATATCTGCCCCTTTCAGCTCAACCCCAGGACCTGAAACTCATCTCTCTCATGTTCTCTTCCCCTCCCCCATCCCCCTTTCCCCACCCTCTGCGCATAACCCCCCCCCCCCCCCCCCCCCCCCATCGTAATCTCGCTCCCATGGGTCTGCTGTCTGCCGCAGCGACCTGAAGCCGGAGAACATTCTCCTAGACGCTCAAGGTAAGCCGTCAGCAACAATCAGTTACAACTAACTGGTGAAGCTACTCTTACCTCATTGTCCTGTCATACTGACTCTAGACTTCTGAGCTGAATAATCTGATGCTATGCCATTGAATAATGGTGGTGTTATCCGCATTGCACATTCCTGTCCATCCATCTCGTTATCCACTACCGCGCCGCGCCAGGTCACGTGCGCATCGCGGACTTCGGATTGGCCAAAGAGCACATCGCCGACAACTCATCGGCTTCCACATTTTGCGGCACACCCGAGTATCTAGGTCAGCCTCCAGGACTACGGATGTTTGTTTATAGATTAACTGTTTTCTGGGTTGACATCGGTTTCGTGGTGTAGTTGGTTATCACGTCAGTCTAACACACTGAAGGTCTCCGGTTCAAGTCCGGGCGAAGCCACCTCTGAGCCTATTGCATTCGCCCTCACATGGCATGCTTCATTGGCCAACCCAGCCCCCCTGCTTATCACCATCATCACCTTTCATGCCAACTCTTATTTCCTGTCGTTTCCCACCTACAAATGCACTTCACCCACCCTCCTCCTCAGTAATCCCACCCCATCCCAAACCCCCAATCCCCCAAACAGCTCCGGAGGTACTGAGAGGCAAGGGGCATGGTAGGGCTGTGGATTGGTGGAGCCTCGGGATTCTCCTCTTTGAAATGGTGGTCGGTGTGGTGAGTGCATGGAGTGGTGTGTTTGCTAAGTGGTCAGCTTCCTAGTCGACTCAGAAGTCATCCTCCCATCTACCCTCCCCCCACATTGCATCTGTTCTTATCCAAATTCTTATCTCCCCTCCCCCCATCCGCCCTTTCATGGTCACAATATTGTGGTGTGTCGTTCCAGAAACTTGCGTCGGTGTTTCTCCCATTTCGCCTCTTCCCTCCACCAGCCGCCCTTCTACGATCGCAATGTGAACATAATGTACAACAAGATAGTGAACGCGCCTCTCGTCTTCCCCGTTACCGTCACCAATTTTTATCTCCGCGATCTCATTTCCAAGGTGAGAGTCCTAGTCTTTCCTGGGAGAAAATCCTTATCTCTGAGGTGCAAAAACTCATCCATGTTTGAGCATTGATTACCACGCAACAATATTATAACTACAGTTGCAGATTTTATACAGAAAGTGCATCTTTTATTTGCCCCCTTTGATCATGTTCCCCAAAATATAACCCCAGTATGCATTTAGCTCTTCCCATACCTCGCTAAACTCCTCTCCACCGGCTCCCAACTCATCCATCCACATACCCTCCCTACCAACCTTCTTTCCAGCTGCTGATTCGGGAGCCGAGCCAGAGGCTCGGAGCGGGCCCGACTGACGCTGCGGAGATCATGAGGCACGAGTTCTTTCGAGGCATGGACTGGGACAGGCTGTATGCCAGGGAGGTGCCTCCCCCGTTTGTACCCAGCAGCAAGGTGAGTGGGGTGAAGTGCAATTTGCTCTTTGTGACGTGATCTATTTGCAGCAGCAAGGTGAGTGCAGTAGAGTGATGTGTGCTTCCGAGGCATGGACTGGGACAGGCTGTATGCGAGGGAGGTGCCTCCCCCGTTTGTACCCAGCAGCAAGGTGAGTGGGGTGAAGTGCAATTTGCTCTTTGTGACGTGATCTATTTGTAGCAGCAAGGTGAGTGCGGTAGAGTGATGTGTGCTTCAGAGGCATGGACTGGGACAGGCTGTATGCCAGGGAGGTGCCTCCCCCATTCGTGCCCACCAGCAAGGTGAGTGATGTGGAGTGGGATTTTCTTTTTGTGACGTGAGCGATCTGTAGCAGCCAGGTGAGTGGGGTAGAGTGACAGGTGCTGCAGATTTGGTCCGAAATGTCTCATAGGGAGAGAGGTTTAGTTGGGACCTTCTTATGCTCGCTATTCCTTCTCATGCGCAGCCCTCCATCCCTCCTCTCCTACCTGTTGCTGTGCTGAAATGTCGACCCAACAGGGCATAGAGGACGTGTCAAACTTCGATAAGAGCTTCACCGGCCTTCACATCAGCGATCCCTTGGAGCCACCCTCGTCTGCTGCGCCCGCTGATAGCCACCATGGTAACTGTATGCTGCCCATCTCCTCGTACCCCCACTCCCCCCTCCCTCTTCCCCCCCCCTCTTTCCCCCACTCCACATCCTTGTCCCTTTTGTCACCTCCTCTGCTGCGCCCACAGACAACCACCAGAGTAACTATAAACTGTCCATCTCCCTGTAACCCCCTTCACCTCATCTTTCCCCTCAAGCTTTCGCCCTTCCACATCCCTTTTGTCACCTCCTCGCCTTACCCTTCTCTCAACCCCCTCTTACTCTCTCCTTACCTCCCTGTCCTCCCCTCTCACTCCCTGTATCTGTCTCTCTCCCATTTGATTAGCAACATCTGCCAATGTGTACGCTTGCAGGTGCAATGAAGCCCACCAACGCCTTTTGAGACGTCTCAAAAGTCTTTTCCTCTCCCTGCATCCGTCTCTCTCCCGTTTGATTTGCAACATCTGCCAATGTGTACGCTTGCAGGTGCAATGAAGTCCACCAACGCCTTTTGAGACGTCTCAAAAGTCTTTTCCTCTCCCTGCATCCGTCTCTCTCCCGTTTGATTTGCAACATCTGCCAATGTGTACGCTTGCAGGTGCAATGAAGCCCACCAACGCCTTTTGAGTCGTCTCAAAAGTCTTTTCCTCTCCCTGCATCCGTCTCTCTCTCGTTTGATTTGCAACATCTGCCAATGTGTACGCTTGCAGGTGCAATGAAGTCCACCAACGCCTTTTGAGACGTCGCAAAATTCTTTTCCTCTCCCTGCATCCGTCTCTCTCCCGTTTGATTTGCAACATCTGCCAATGTGTACGCTTGCAGGTGCAATGAAGCCCACCAACGCCTTTTGCGACGTCTCAAAAGTCTTTTCCTCTCCCTGCATCCGTCTCTCTCCCGTTTGATTTGCAACATCTGCCAATGTGGATGCTTGCAGGTGCAATGAAGTCCACCAACCCCTTTTGAGACGTCTCAAAAGTCTTTTCCTCTCCCTGCATCCGTCTCTCTCCCGTTTGATTTGCAACATCTGCCAATGTGTACGCTTGCAGGTGCAATGAAGCCCACCAACGCCTTTTGAGACGTCTCAAAAGTCTTTTCCTCTCCCTGCATCCGTCTCTCTCCCGTTTGATTTGCAACATCTGCCAATGTATACGCTTGCAGGTGCAATGAAGCCCACCAACGCCTTTTGAGACGTCTCAAAAGTCTTTTCCTCTCCCTGCATCCGTCTCTCTCCCGTTTGATTTGCAACATCTGCCAATGTGGATGCTTGCAGGTACAGCGAAGCCCACCAACGCCCCTGCAAAGACCGGCCAGACCTCCACCAATGATAAAGCTCCAGCTGGCGCTGACAAGGGGCATGCCGGGAAGACTGGAAACACAGGGGGTGGGGGAAAGGCAGGGGGAGGTGCGAAACCAAACCTGACGATTGATACGCATGCAGCCTTGGGATTGGATCCACTTGACAACTCTCTGTTTGAAGGGTTTGTGTTCAGCCCGACCAAGAAGCATGGTGCAACTGGTCCTGAGTTGTAGATACCAAGTTAGCAACTCACAGCAGAGAGGACTTTTGAGTCGACTCAAAAGTCACCTCTGTTTGAAGGGTTTGTGTTCAGCCCGACCAAGAAGAGCACTGCAACAAGCCCTTCTGTGGTGTAGACAACAGAACCTAGCAGCATCAGGGATGGATCCGCTGGACAACTCTCTGAAGGGTTTGTTGTGTTCAGCCGGACCAAGAAGCACGGTGCAACCGGTCCTGCGTTGTAGACAGCAACTCACAGCAGAGAGGACTAACAACATCAGGAGATTTTCCATACCGTATTGTATTTAGTTTGTAGTGAGTAGAATACTAGGTACGTCAAACTGTTATGCTATGCATGCTTGATTAATTTTTTCATGAATGGCAATAATGTACATACAACAGCTGCCATTGTGATACATCGCACTGTACATGTGAAAAACAAACTTTATTATGCACCTGCCGCACTACTGGCACCCTGGGGTAGCTGGCAGCTAGCCAGGTCTTTAGGGATCTTCCTAGCAGGCAAATAGGCAAAAGATACGCTTGCAGAAGGAAGACCAAGTCATGTGTATGACTGGTATAGGAAGCAGAAAAGAAGGAAGCAAGAAGGCAGCAGCAGCAGCAGCAGCAGCAGCAGCAGCAGCAGCAGTAGTACTTGTGTCAGCAGCTCTTTGCCAGAGAAAAGTCCCCCAACAAACTGTTCTAAAGCTTAGAGCTCCTTGCTCTTCTTAGTCGCAGCAGCAGGAGAGGGAGCAGCGGAGGAGGAGTAGAGGTAGGTGCTAAGGACGGTGAGGGGGAGGGCCAGCCACACAAAGAGGGAGGGAGGTGTGCCGTCGAGAGCATACTGCACTATGGCGGTTACCACCAGACCGGCTATCACTGTGAACCCCTGCGAGAGGGAAGGAGCAAGGAGGAAGGAGGGTTGTGGGAGTGAGAAAGGGAGAAGTTTCAAGGTGTTTTGGAGAGAGAGCAGCAATGGGTGGAAGTGCCATCCAGATGAAGAGAGAGGGAGGCGTGCCGTCGAGAGCATACTGCACTAGAGGTTACCAGCAGATCCGCTATCACTGTGAAACCCTGTGAGGGAAGGAGTGTGGGTTGAGAGAAGGGACGAGCAGCATGGGGAGAGGAGGGGGTGGGGGGGGGGGAGAGCAGCATGGGGAGAAGAGGGGGTGGGGGGGGGAGAGCAGCATGGGGAGAAGAGGGGGTGGGGGGGGGGGAGAGCAGCATGGGGAGAAGAGGGGGTGGGGGGGGGGAGAGCAGCATGGGGAGAAGAGGGGGGTGGGGGGGGGGGAGAGCAGCATGGGGAGAAGAGGGGGTGGGGGGGAGAGAGCAGCATGGGGAGAAGAGGGGGTGGGGGGGGGGGAGAGCAGCATGGGGAGAAGAGGGGGAGGGGGGGGAAGAGCAGCATGGGGAGAGCGGCATGGGGAGAGCGGCATGGGGAGAGCGGCATGGGGAGAGCGGCATGGGGAGAGCGGCATGGGGAGAGCGGCATGGGGAGAGCGGCATGGGGAGAGGCGTGCCGGTTACCAGCAGACCGGCGGTTACCAGCAGACCGCCATGCCGTAGAGTCGAGAGCATACTGCAGTATGGCGGTTACCAGCAGACCGCCATGCCGTAGAGTCGAGAGCATACTGCAGTATGGCGGTTACCAGCAGACCGTCTGGATGGGCTGGTTCTATGGCTTTGAATGAAAGATCCTAGACTATTATGGTGGCATGAATACAGTAGGAAAGAAATCCCCACAACCCAGTGAACCCTCTTATGACACCCGCCCCGCCTCCACCACCTATCCCCTCCCCCAGCATACCTTCTTAACGCCCCCTGCATATTTGGTCACAAGCCCCACAAGAATGCCTCCTATGGCGTTTGATAGAGCTGGAATCTGGGGGGTGGGGTGGGGCGTGGGGTTGGGGTTGTGGGGGGGGAGAAGGGGGTGTGTGTGGGGGTTGGGGTAGGGGTGAGAAGTAGAAGGCATATTTGGTCACAAGCCCCACGAGGATGCCCCCTATGGTGTTTGACTGAGCTGGAATCTGGCGGGTGGCGATGAGGTGGGATAGGGATGGGGTTAGAGCGGAAGCGAGGATAAGGGTAGGGGTGGGCAGGAAAAGGCATGCTTGTGCACAAGGCCTACGAGGGTGCCCTCTATGGCATTTGACCGAGCTGGAATCTGGGGGGTTGGGGGTATAGCGATATTGAGAATGGGCAGGGTTCAGCTCCCATGCGATCGAAGTTTGAGTTTTGAGGCGCCTCAACAGTTGAAAGTGGGAATGGGTGGGAATCCACTCGCATGCGAGAGAAGTCCTGGGAGGAGAGGAGGGAGACGGGGAGCAGTGATAGCACCGCACGGCGCACAGTAGTGAGTCAGAGTCGCGATTGGCATGGCAGGATGAATGCATTGAGGTGTATTTTGAGGCGCCTCAAACTACACAGCGCACGGTAGTGAGTCAGAGTCGCGATTGGCAGGATGAATGCATGCTGACTCATTATGGCGAGGGGCGTCCAGGCGTGGAAGAAGCCGGGGCGCAACATGCGAGCAGCAGCGTCTTGGAAGGAGAGGATAGGAACAGTGATGTGCATGCATGATGGTGCACGCACAGTGGCAAGAAAGGGGAGCAAGCACGACTTGATGCTTCTTACGATGGTGAGTGGCGTCCATGCGTGGAAGAAGCCGAGTTGCAACATGCGGGCGCCGTCTTGGGAAGTGAAGAGAGAGACGAGCAGGACGAGGGACGTGAGGGAACACATCTCGATGGTGAATAGATGTGGGCTGCGCCTCTTGACCTGCACCGAGACAAGACCAGACGAGACAAGGGGAAAGAGCTGAATGATGAGACGCCAGGACAAGACAATACCACCACCCCCCACGCACACATGTAATGAGTCGAGTTTTGAGACGGCTCAAAACTCGACTCATTACACACGAGTCGGCTCAAAACTCGACTCATTACACACGATTCGACTCGAAACTCGACTCATTACACACGAGTCGGCTCAAAACTCGACTCATTACACACGATTCGACTCGAAACTCGACTCATTACACACGAGTCGACTAAAAACTCGACTCATTACACGCAGACGCCAGGACAGGACAATACCACCACCCCCCACGCACACACCTGCACTTGCCACTGGTTGTGCGTTGATCCCAGCCCAGAGGTCACAGACGCCACCAGCACCGGCACCACTCCCAGCGCCACTCTCTCCCAGGCCACGCCTGCTGCTACAATAGCCGCCGCCGCAGCAGCAGTGGCAGCCGCGCCAGCAGCCATAGATGGCGGCGCCTCCCCTGCTGCACTCGCTCCGTGAGTCTGGCCAGGTTTAGGCCCCGGACCAGAAGCAGGGCCTGGGCTGAGGGTGAGTAGCGTGGCGGCGACGAGCAGCATGCAGAGGGCGACGATCTGCACCCGGGTCTGGCGGATTCTGTGATGAGAAGTGAGACAAGACAGGAGGGGAAAAGGTTCAGAGGAATAGGTTGAGAGGGTGGGAAGGAACAACGGTCGTTCGTTTGCTCTCACTCCGTTTCTTCCCTCGCAGCGACGAGCAGCAGGCAGAGAGCGATGCTTTGCAGTCGGGTCTGGCGGATTATCACCTCTTTCCCACCTTCACTCATTCCTTCTTACCCGAGAAAGAAGTAGTTGGACAGGTCCGAGAAAAGAAGCTTCGTCTGGTTCAGCAGGTTGAAGGTCAGGTGGTCCAGATGGCTTAATCTCTCTCTTCTCACCTCTTCTCACATCTTCTCACCTCTTCCCACCTCTTCTCACCTCTTCCCACCCTTCTTCGTTCCCTCTTACCTGAGTAACAGGTAGTTGAAGAGGGCTGTGAACAGAAGGTTTCTCTGGTTCAGCAGGTCGAACGTGAGATAGTCCAGATGGCCTATTTCACCTCATTTCCTCCCACCTAAGGAGCAGGTAGTTGGAGAGGGCGGTGAAGAGCAGCTTCGTCTGGTTCAGCAGGTTGAACGTCAGGTAGTCCAGGTGGTGCAGGGCTACTTGGATGAGCGTGTTCTGAATGAAGTGACTCCCTTTCCACCTCTTTCCCACTGTACTGCATCCTCACTCTTACCTTAGAAACAGATAGTTGGAGAGAGCGGTGAAGAGGAGTTTCGTCTGGTTCAGCAGGTTGAACGTCAGGTAGTCCAGGTGGCGCAGGGCCACCTGAATGAGCGTGTTCTGGGCGGCGTACAGCAGGCCTGGTACCGCAGCAGCTTCTAACGAGTCCAGCAGGTGCCAGTTGCGCCAGACGGTGAAGAGAGAGCCGTCCAGGAACATGGCTGTGAGGGCTATGAGAACCTGCGTGTGGCGTGGTGGAAGGGTAGTGGGGGACGGGTGATGTCAATGCACGGGTGACTTGTGGTGCCAGTTGCGCCAAACGGTGAAGAGAGAGAGCCGTCTAGGAAGAAATCGCGGCTATGAGCAGACGTCTGTTGGGGCTATGAGGAGACGTCTGTTGGGGCTATGAGCAGATGTCTGTTGGGGCTATGAGCAGACGTCTGTTAGGGCTATGAGCAGACGTCTGTTAGGGCTATGAGCAGACGTCTGTGAGGGCTATGAGGACCTGCGTGTGGTGTGGATGGGAGAGGAAGAAATCGGGGGGAAGGGAAAAGAGGACAGCAGAATGTATGCAGAGGCAATGGGAGCATGTGCGAGCATAAAAAGGTGCACCAGTGGCGTCAAACGGTGAAGAGAGAGCCGCCGAGAAACATGGCTGGAAAGGGGTGGGTGGGGAAGGGGGAGGCAGGAGGGGGTGGTGGGAGAGGGATGATGATGGCATTTCACGGGTGGAAAATACAATGATGAACGCCAGGAGGAACTTTAGTACAGTAAATGACCTGTAGGAACTGGGGGGGGGGTTATGGAAAGAGTCTGGCGGTGCGGAGTGAGGGTGGGTGGCAATGATTGGTCAAGGAGAACGAGGGAATTCAGAATGCGAGGAAGCGAAAGAGTGGCTGTGTGGGGGTGGTACGGGGAAGAGGTGGGAAAATGTTTTATCGAGTGGGAGAGGGGAAGCCCTTTGAGGAGTGACGGGGGCTCTAGAGGCGGGGGCTCTAGAGGCGGGGGCTCTAGAGGCGGGGGTGCTCACCTTGAGGACTTCGCAGGTGATGACCTGACTCGATATCAGCACGTCACGACTGTTGGTTTCGGAACGAGGGATGGGAGTTGCACAGCGGGAGGGATGGGGAGGGAGGGAGAGAGGGATTGAGGGAGAGAGGGAGGGAGAGAGGGAGGGAGGGAGGGAGGGAGGGAGGGAGGGAGAGAGGGAGGGAGGGAGAGAGGGAGGGAGGGAGGGAGGGAGAGAGGGATTGAGGGAGAGAGGGAGGGAGGGAGAGAGGGAGGGAGGGAGGGAGGGAGGGAGGGAGGGAGGGAGGGAGGGAGGGAGGGAGGGAGGGAGGGAGGGAGGGAGGGAGGGAGGGAGGGAGGGAGAGAGGGAGGGAGGGAGGGAGAGAGGGAGGGAGGGAGGGAGGGAGGGAGGGAGGGAGGGAGGGAGGGAGGGAGGGAGGGAGGGAGGGAGGGAGGGAGGGAGGGAGGGAGGGAGGGAGGGAGGGAGGGAGGGAGGGAGGGAGGGAGGGAGGGGAGGGAGGGAGGGAGGGAGGGAGGAGGGAGGGAGGGAGGAGAGGGAGGGAGGGAGGGAGGGAGGGAGGGAGGGAGGGAGGGAGGGAGGGAGGGAGGGAGGGAGGGAGGGAGGGAGGGAGAGAGGGAGGGAGGGAGGGAGGGAGGGAGAGAGGGAGGGAGGGAGGGAGAGAGGGAGGGAGGGAGGGAGAGAGGGAGGGAGGGAGGGAGAGAGGGAGGGAGGGAGGGAGGGAGGGAGGGAGGGAGGGAGGGAGGGAGGGAGGGAGGGAGGGAGGGAGGGAGGGAGGGAGGGAGGGAGGGAGGGAGGGAGGAGGGAGGGAGGGAGGGAGGGAGGGAGGGAGGGAGGGAGGGAGGGAGGGAGGGAGGGAGGGAGGAGGGAGGAGGGAGGGAGGGAGGAGGGAGGGAGGAGGGAGGGAGGGAGGGAGGGAGGGAGGGAGGGAGGGAGGGAGGGAGGGGGGGGGGGGATTCAGTTGAGGATAGAACGGACAGAAGAGTTGGGGAGGAAAGGCAAGGAGATTCGGGGCAGGACCAAGCAACAGACAACGCCGCCTGACGGGGATAAGGAAGGCGGTCCGCATTTGCACGCATCCATCACCTTAGCAGCTTTCTCGTGAGAATCGGCTGCAGGCCATACTGCAGAGCCAGTAGCGCCATGATGCAAACCATTGAATACACCGGAGAAACACTGTTACATTGTTACCCTATCACGCCATTCATCACCTCACTCGCATCGCAAGCATCCATCACCTGAGCAGCTTCCTCGTGAGAATCGGCTGCAAGCCGTACTGCAGAGCCAGCAGCGCCATGCAAATCAACGCCTTGCTATTAGAAGCACCTCCCGTCCCTCCCCCTCGTCCGTGGATCCCGCTACGATCCGTGAATCGCGCTTTCTCCTTCCCATCGGTTCCACGTTTCGTCCCCTCCTTTCCATTCGCAAATCCGTTTTGAGAATTCTCGAAAGACGATTTCCCCTCCGCATTGACGAATTTCACTCTTTCTCTTCCTTCCTCCGCCGTGCTTCGCGGCTCGTCAAAATCTGGCTCTTGCCGCTCGAGCCGCGGTCGACTTCTGGACGTCGCCGTCACCAAAGCTGGCTCTCGCGCACCGCTAACGGCGCGATTTTCCGTGACGGAATCCGTCTCATGTAATGTATCTTGTCGTGTCGCGCTGACAACCGCCGACTTCCTTGCTCGCATTTCCATGTCGGGTAATCTAACGACCATTTCTTTCGGTCTAGGTTCCACGTCACCCTACCGAATTTCACAGGTATCTCGAATCAGTGCAAACCTTACGGAATTAGTACCGATTCCGCTTTGCAGTGATGGATGCGAGTAGATTACAGTCAGTACGTTCATATATTAGTATCAACTGAGTACAGCAGGGTCAGAGGTTACGGTTGGTAGCTCACAGCCGCTCTTGAAATGCGCCTGGGCGAGCCAGAGCATCAAAGTCGACATCCCAAAACTGCACTGCGATGTCATGCTGTACCAAAGTCTCGTCGTTCATTTCATCTCCCTTGTTCCCATCCCAGGCTAGCATGTGGAATCGTGGATGCTCCACAACCACAACCACAACACCAACAGGCCTCTCTTGTCATGCCTCACGCCGGTTCCCTGGGGCCTTCGTGTCCCTTCCCTTCATCTCCTCTTCACAGCCACATCCAGTCTCCCTCCTGTCTGTCACCTCCCATCAGGCGTGTCATACGAGTTCGTTTCAGCTCATGAATCACTGTTCAGACTGGTGGGTGACGGTTAAACGCGGTGGAGCAAATCACCGCTCTACAAAGCACATAACCTTTCTTCACCGCAGTTACTGAACCGAAAGTGAAGAAGTCTGACGCGCCCTTAGACCCTCGGGCCACAGCCACGATACGGCCCTCCGTCGTTGGTGCTGAACCAACCAACAACCGTTTTGGGAAATGATCAAAGAGGGGCCGCACAAGTGATCGACCAGGGGCCGAGAGGCCCGAAACTGACCAAACCGCTGGGACAGGGGGGATTAACAGAGAGGTTCGTCACGGCGTGCATTTTCGCTCACACCTCAATATTCTTAGGATATCGTAAATGAATAATTTTTTCATCCGGTAGCGTCGTTTAGCAAGCCAGGTAGCGCTACCGGCGGTATCGACGCTACCGGGAAATGTTAGGGCATCCTAAAACAAACTAGAACCAATAGGGAACCTGGACGCATTTCCAGGATGGATCAACCCTAAACACGGGAACCCGCCTGGTGTTTAGGGTTGATGCCTCCCGAGTCGCATCCATTTCCGAACGGGTGTTATTATTTATGTCAGCTAAAGTGATGTTTTTTTTAACGATTACGCATTTCATTTCCAAAAAAACAAACATGACGAAACCTACTTCCAGAGGAATGTGACGCAAGCTTCGTATTAGGCGGCGATCATAACCATGAAAACATTATTGAACCAAGAAAGTTGAGCAAAAAGCAATTTCCTTTTTATCTTGGCTCGGATTCTTGGCCCAACCACTTTGGCAGCCCCAAGGGGTATATCTGACGGTTGGGATCAACCTGGCCCTAATTCGGTCACCTCCCTGCTATTGTTCGGCCCCTATTTGATATTTTCCCAACCGTTTTTGCCAAGAGATGGACGGACGGGTGGATCTCTCTCTAAGTCCACGAGGTTCACGAACTTCTGGAAGTTCCACAGCGATTGGGTGCGACGGTAGGGAAGAACTCTCTACAGTAACCGTTACGCGCCCCGGCACTGCGATTTGGGCCAAGCGCTTCTCTGCCAATGAGAGAGGGCCGCCGCAATTTCGCATAATAAAAACAGAAATACGATTTCCGTGCTGCAAAGGCGTTGCCATAACGCCGCATACAAAACCGGGGATACGGGCCTCAAGCAGGCTGCACTTCCCAGCTTTCCAGGGCGTATATGAAGCATGAGAAATGTGCACGGTTCTCTAATTATTTTATGTAAGCACTAAACAACAACAGCTTGACACAGCTGCAGCGACACAATCGTGTCACGCGGTCCACATAATCGACACTCTGCATGAACTTGCTGTGCTTGATTGCCTGTCGCCATCTCATTTCAGTGGAGTTTTGCCTTTGAAAATCGCGTCCTGATCAAATTTGACTTCAAATCAGCCACATATCAAGGCCGTGGAAATTCAAAAGCACGAAACACGGGAGATAGGGACCCTTGGGATTACGGAACTGAAAGAGGACATATGCTCCATCGCACAGGACCCGCAACCAATTCGCTCGTATTTGTAGAGAAGTCGTTCTCCTCAATTGAGATGCTGAACGAGCGCGTCTTGGACTGAACGACGTGAATTTAGTTTAATTGAGGCGCAGACTGACTCGCTCCATTCGTTTTTCCCCCCACAAACATTCCTTCACTGTACCTCCTCGAGCCGCGCGTTTTTCTCCTGTTCAGTCCACGAAATTGCCTGAGATTCTAGGAATCGTCACCAAGCTCAGTTGTTTAAATATGGACTACCATAACCAGCGGATAGGGCACTTGAGATTGCGTCATCTCGCGGGTTTGAGGATTCGATCGTTCAACGAATCTGACGTTCAGTGGAAACGCCTCTGCGCACCATTTGTTACCATCTCTCGCCGCATTTTACCTCGTATCACCACTCTTTACCCCGTCACACCAATTGTCACCACTTCTCACTACCCCTTACCGTCAACATGAAGCGCATGGCCTCCTCGTCTCAGCAAGCTATGAAACGGTACGTTTGTCACTCCATACTTCAAGCCCGTTCCTCGTTTTTCATGGCAGTTTGCAACAGTCTGCTTGCTGAAGGCAATGGTGACGAAATTCCCCCTTCCTTGCTTGCTTCCTTGCTTCCGTCCTTCAATTGTCAGTATGAAACTCGCTTCTGCTTTTGAGACGCTTCAAAACTCACTTCTGCTTCTGAGACGCTTCAAAACTCGCTTCTGCTTTTGAGACGCTTCAAAACTCGCTTCTGCTTTTGAGACGCTTCAAAACTCGCCTCTGCTTTTGAGACGCTTCAAAACTCGCCTCTATGCGAGTGGAAAGAATCGTGGCGATTCCTTGTTCTTCTCTATTTATTGAATTCATGTATAGAAACAAAGTGTATTTCTTTGTTTCTTTCCTTTTTCTGTGTGTCTTGCATTGTCTTTCTCTGAGCAGCTGCCTCGAGCTGGTCCTCCTGGTGCTGCTCATTCTGCCAGTAATCGCTTCTCTCGCCGATGCAGCGGACACGAATGCGACCTCAAGCCGACCTAGAGCCGCTGGTCCTGACGACACTCCCCCCGGCACCACCACTCCCCCCGGCACCACCACTCCCCCCACCACCACTCCTCCCAGCACCACCACTCCTCCCAGCACCACCACTCCTCCCGGCACCACCACTGATGAAGATGATACCACTGATGGCGGAAGTTTCACCATAAACAGCAGCAACAACAGCAGCAGCCCAGGTGGCAACAGTGGCAGCAGCAGCAGCAGCAGCAGCAGTGGCAGCAGGGCAAGGGCAAGCCCGGTGCCACCGCCCCCACCAGCGATTCCGTCCTACGGCTGTAACGTGGACTTCAGTGCCCTCGCCAACGGGAACATCACCTGTACGTTGTCCATCCCCTTTCTGTATGCTCGTAGGATTTTTTTCCAGCCCTGTTAGCCCTGGCAGCGGCAGCAGCAACAGCAGCGGTGGCAGCAGGGCAAGGGCAAGCCCGGTACCAGCTCCCCTACCAACGATTCCAACCTACGGCTGTGACGTGGACTTCACCTGCCTCTCCAACCGGAACATCACATATATGCTTTTAGATTTCTTTGCACCCACAGTTCAAGCATTATCCACGGTGCTGTTACAATCGGTGCGTGTGATGCCAGTATATTCATTCTTGCACCATTTTAGATGTGAAAAAGACGCATGCATCCACGGGCTGTTCAAGTCGGTGTCTGAGAATTCTAAAAAAAGTTACACATTCCAGCCGTCCCCCATTTCTTTTCTCTTTCCCTTTCGGTTTTCTCGTCTGCACATGCTCCGCCCATATCGGTCTGCTCTGGCACCTACTCGGCTTAAACATGTCTCACCTCTGTTTCTCACCTCACCGCCTCGCCTGCCTCTTCATTTCCCCCGTGCCTTTTATCACCTCCAGCTCTCTCGGCCTGCTCTGGCCCGTCTCCATCCCCAGACGCATGCTGCGGGCCGCTGTTGGCGTTTCAGAGGAGCTTCGCTGTGAGGGAGCCCATGTTCTTCCTCGCCATCACCACACAGCCCGAGCTCAACACCCCTTGCAGGAAGGTACTGCGAAGCTGGTGCAGGCTAGACATCTCAGAAATCAAGGGCAAACCTCCCAACGACCTGCCAGGCTCACCTGTAGCCATCCCTTGTTCCTCCTCACGTCACTGTCGACAAGCCCAACTTTGACTCGTAAGGCTCGTGTAAAAGGTGAAGTTTTGATCCGTCTCAAAACTTCACTTTCTACACGTGGCTGTTCCTCCTCACGTCACTGTCGACAAGCCCAATTCTGACTCATGAAGCCCACTGACTTCTCCCGTTTTTTGTGGTATTTCTGCCCCTCTCCCTCTCTCATCCGCTCCCCAGTCCCTCCAGGTGCATCTGCAGGCATCACCTGCTCGGCCTCGCATCACTGCCAATGCCCTGATCCCCAACTCTGACAAATAACATGTTGCACTCGTGTGTCTCTCTGCTCCTCAACTCCCACCCTTTTCTGCTCCCAAGTCCCTCCAGGTGCATCTGCAGGCATCACCTGTCCGCCCGCGCATCACTGCCCATTGACCTGATTCCCAGCTCTGATTTAAAAGGCTTCGACTCTGAGCCTTCCTCCGTTTCGTGTGGTCTCTCTCCTCTCTCTCTGCCCATCTCCCTCCCCTCATCCGCTACCCAGTCCCTCCAGGCGCATCTGCAGGCGTCCCCTGTGCGCCCGCGCATCACTGCCAATGTCTTCTCCCTCTGCAACCCTCCCACCAACGCCTCCTCCTCCTCCTCCTCCTCCTCTTCAGCCTCATCTCGTCGCAGTCTGCTCCCTCTGGTGGCGGTGGATCCGCCAAGCAACAAGTGCCCTGTGGTGTGGGTGCAGGACGTGGATCGACTGTAAGTGTATAAGGCATGTCTGATGAGAACAGCCATGTCTGCAGAATAAGTGCCTTGTTCTCATGCAGGGCATATTCTCTCAACAACAAGGTATTCTCCTTCTCTCACGTTGCAGTCTGCTGCCTTTGGTGACAGTGGATCCGCCAAGTTTAAATGCCCAGTATTGTGGGTCCAGGATTTGATCTGACTTTGTCATCTCCTTTCTCCTCCTTCATACCTGCAACTCATCCCAGCTTCCTGCAGGTCATGTGCCTTTCACATGCATGTGCCTCGCAACAGACAGATACAACCAGCTCCAGATGCGCCTCCCCTCTGTCTGCTCCTATTCATCCCTTCCCTGTCTGCTCCTGTGTCCCTCCGAACTTCTCCCCTCTTTCCGCTCTCCCTCCCGCCTTCCCGCCCTCCCCTCCTGCTCCCTGCAGTCAGAACGTCACTCGCCTGGCCAAGGCATGCGCCTCTGCAGATACAGCCTGCCCTAGATGCGCCTCCACGCTTTCTGCCGCAGCTGCCGCCCTGGCCCGCTACAGCCCGGCTGTAGCGGCTCGCACTGCGGCAAGGGGAAGCGCGGGGAATGCGAGCATGGCTGCTGGGGAACCCACCACTGCACCATCCGAAGCAGTCATGGATGATTGTGCGCGAGTGACATTCGTGAGGGTGGCTCAGGCTCAGGTACGACTCTCTCGTCGTGTGCCCTCCTTCCTGTCCTTGTGTGCTTACCGTGTGGCTTGTAAAACCACCACTGCACCGTCTGAAGCGGTCATGGATGACTGTGGGCGAGTGACATTCGTGAGGGTGGCTCAGGCTCAGGTACGACTCTATCTCGTCGTCTGCCCCCCTTTGGCCGTGTATGTTCTACCACTGTGCGCGAGTGCCATTCGTGAGGGTGGCCCAGGCCCAAGTACGTTCCTTCACCTTTATTCGTCCTCCTTTTGTCCGCCCTTTCTCGGTGCAGCCCGGCCGTAGAGGCACGCATTTCAGCGAGGGGAAGCAGCGGTACGGTAATAATGCGACAAACACCCTCCTGCCTGACAATTTGCCCCTACTGCCCTTGTGCTTGCTGTTTGTCTCCAGAGCTGGCGAGCGGCACCAGGGCTTGTAACCCTGCAGCTAGACTGCCCCATTGTCTAGCCCTGCCCCCCCGAGGATCGACTCACCTCACCTGCATCATTGGCAAATCTTTGAGTCGCCTACTGTATGTGGAGCAGACTCTGCAGCAGCCAGACGTTAGAGAGTGTGGGGACGATGGGCTTTTACGATTAGCTAGGACCGCTGCTGGCGTGCAGCCAGTGAACCTAGGTGTGTGCGGCTGTACATTATGTAGAGAGTGCTGTACATGCTTGTGTTATGTGTGCGCATGTCATTAATATGTGATTTTGTTTCACCATGTACACCGATATACAAACTGTTACCGGAACAATATAATATCTGTACAAAGGATAGCTTAGCAAGCCCCTTGCCGGCTCAATGTACACATGCTCGGTACACGTAGCAGGCGAACAGCCCTTGCTCTCACAAACAGCGCTGGAAATGACAGCGACTCGCCCTGCAACGGTGGGACGGGGAGGGTATAGATGGGAGGGTAATAGTTAGGACAGCAGGGTAACCCCCACTCCCAGGTTCATCGTCAAGGGTAGAGCTAATGCATGCATGCCTTATCATGTACAACATATTATGCACGGCCTACCATCATCCCATGCATAGCCCATAATCCCATGCATAGCCCATCATCCCATGCATAGCCCATAATCCCATGCATAGCCCATCATCTCATGCATGGCCCTTCATCGCATGCATAGCCCATCACCCCAAGCATAGCCGTTCATCCCATGCATGGCTCATCCCATGCATAGCCCGTCATCCCATGCATGGCCCTTCGTACCATGCATAGCCCATCATAGAGCTTAGCAGATGTAGAAGAAGGAAACGAGGGGAGGTAGGGGAGAATGACGAAGAGGAGGGGGAGGTGCGGGGGGGGAAGGGGGAGAGGAGGAGGGGAAGAGGGAGGATTGGACGTAAGGAGAGGGAGAGGGAAGTGGCTGATGAAACGTACCATTGCTGTTTCAGTGGAAGCTGCGGTGACAGTGCAACTGCAGTTTCAGTGAAACAACGGCAACAGGGGACGCGGGGGGAGTCGTGAGCTTGACTGCAACGGATATAAGAACCAAGCAGGGAAATACGAATTTGGCGGAACAGTAAAATCTGACATGGAACAAAGTGAGGACGGCAGAATTCACGCACTGATGCCTGAACAGGAACGATCGGATCCCATTCAAAGGGAAAACTCGGCAAAACCTGTCTCCCTCGTAGTGCTTTCTCAGGGATTAGGGATTTCAAGCAGTGCAATGTGAAACCAGAGCAAAATCTGACTGTATCGCAAGTGCAAGTGTTTTTATGGTCAATAATAAATAATGCAACGCACTTGAGCCTGTGATCGCAGTCTGAAAGCACGCCTTTAATCCGCAAGTCGTTTAAGAGCTCCAACTCCACCGCGCGCCCGATCGCAGATCGCGCCGCCTCGACCGCGCGAGAAAGCCCTAATCCACCCTCTGAGTTCCCCCTCTCTACTGCCTCTGCTGCTCCGGAAAACCTTAATCTATCTGGAGTTGAAGGCGCAGGGGCGGAAGCGCCGTCAAGATGCGCGGGTTTCGTGCACGCGTCGGCCGCCATTGTGGACAAGTTATCCAGTTAGCGAAGGTTCTTCAGCAGCTCGAACCAACTACTAAACCCCTGTAGGCTGTGCTGACCCTGACAACTGTGAGGGTTTTTGTGTGGCGTACGCTCCCACTAGCGAGGCTAATTGTTTGTGGATGCTAGGTTAGCAGATAATCAGGAATAGCGAAACACCCTCTTTATACATGGAGCAGCATTACAAAGTCATTTATAAACGGAAACGGATCTTTTTTCCTAAGGCATCCAAAAAAATGGGTAAACCGAAATTTACGCTCATCACCTGCCTCGACACGCTCTCAAACGCAAAGCACTTCGGCGGCCATGTCAAACCTAACTCGCCGCAAATTATTTCCGGATACAGGCTTATTATGTAGCTTGCTAGAGCTCGAGGAAGGAGAGCTGTAGGGTTTCACGACGCCATTGCTGCTGAACTTGGTGGTATCCTCTTCCAAAAACGATGGACTTTCAGTGAAAACCGCAGAAAAAACTTCATGCTGATCAAAGAACTCCGCAGTTGCTGTAGTAGGCGACGATAATGGGGCAGCTGAAGACGAGGATGGAGATGAGGAATGAGGCCACCTCCTGCACGCGGGAGCCGTCACACACGATCTGCAGGGGGACAGAAGCGCCTGTTCCAACCGCGACTCGCACTGTTCCTCGACCTCACATCCCCCGCACCTCCTGACTGGATGACGCGAACCAGCAGCGCGCCGAGTCCGCTCCATGTGATTGTCGCTATTGCACCGCTGAATGCAGCGGTCTCCGCCACCCGCGGACGGGCGGAAGCACGGTCGCCGCTGGCCCGACCTGAAGCCAGTGCGCGGCGCCGAGGCTGGCGGAGAAGGCGCAAAAAACACATCTCCGTCACCAAGAGTCGTATTCGGAGCGTCGGGGGAAAGCGGCGGGCTCGGTGGTGATTGCCGAAAATGTGGAAATGCTCGCGGCGCGGAAGCATGGCGCGACGGCGGAGTTGGCGAAGAGATCGGCGGAGAGCGACGTTGAGTGGCATGGGGAGGCGGAGTCGGCTGGTTCGGAAGGCGGAGCTTTTCGTGCGGAACTTGCCCTTTTTGGTTCGGCAAGGGCGGGCGCTGATTTGGTGAGACAAGCCGCTTGGGAACAGGCGAAAACGACAGCGATGGCTTGGGAGGAGCAAAAGGCGGAGATGAATGGGGAGGAGGCGTCGCGAACGACGGAGAGGATGATATCGATGGTGGCGGCGGCGTAAGCCGCGGCCCCGACGCGCGCGGTGGCGCAACTGGCCGCGAAGTGGCTTGAGGCGATTCGCGCTGGCGTAACGGCCTAACTTGCCTCAAACGCCGCTGTTGGGGCGGTGTCTTTGCAGCCGAAACTTGCGGCGTCTTCGCCGTCGTAACTTGCGGCGGCGCCATAAGCGACGACTGACACGGCGTGGAAGGATGCGGCACGAGCTTGCCTCCACGAACGAGCAGACGTCCGGCTGCAGGCGGCGGTTTGCAGACCGCGTCACTACCGCCGCCGGCGCGACCGTGAGCAGACTGAGACGCCGTCACGAAATGATAGACCCGTTGACGACGCGAAGATTCGGGGCTTGCAGGAGCCGATGCCGACAACTGATGACTCATCAGATGCGCACGCTCGTGCTCCGAACAGAAACTCAGATGATCCTCACCGAACTCATTCTGATGCCGATACTGCTTATCATCGCCATGATGGCGCTGATTGTGGTAGTAATCGTCCGACGAGACGTGTTGGAGGTAGTCTTCGTCGTGAGGTGTTTGCCGCCAGTGGTTGGCGTTTTGTGTCGTGCTCGAGAGGAGTGCGGACTGGCGAAGCGGACGCGACGGCGGATGACACATATTGAATCTTTGTTAGGAAGCAGCAGGGTAGATACGTGCGAATAATGGACGTAAAAGCGAGCGGCGAGGTGGACGGATATACTCGGTGCGGTATGCGATAAGTGCTGTAGAGGAGAAACCGACGGTGGTGAGAGGTAAAATGGCTGCTGTTGATCCGGCGAAGCAGCTCTATTTGTTTGGGAGGGCGAGACGGCGAATGAAAGGATGTTTTAGGCGGATGCAGAATGAGCAGAATGCAATGCGGATTTGTCTGACGAAAAACTTCTTGATGGCTGCACACCTTGAGTGGAGCCAGTCTGTGTGATGTGAAGTGCAACGATTTGAGGCACCAAAGCTTGGCAATGAGAGATAGTGCAACGCTGTCACAGACAACTGATGGAGTGACGATTTGGTGAAAAGTGGCATTGCTGTCGAATTGCTGCTGCGTGGGCTGCCCAGCCTGGCTTTCCACTGGTCTGTCCTGCCCTGCCCTGCTCTAGCCAACCTCGCGTTGCCATGCCAGGCATATGGTCTGATCTGGACTTCGGGCATCTTCTTCAGGCCTCCACTGCACTGTTCGCTTTCCCGCCTTGATGGGGCTAGGGCAGCACTGGCAGGAAATAAATAATAACCTGGGCTGAGCGTGCTCTGTACCGCTTTGAACAATCAAGCACCAGTTAGATTCAACCATTCCCATGGTAAGAAAATGGGCAGGGATTCGGCAATCAATGCGTACGTCACCCTCACAAGCAAATTGTTTACCTTGGGCAGCATAAAACAAGGCGGCGGATCGTTTCCACGAGACGGTCAAGTTTGGATACGCGCCTCGCTTTTGCGGTGCGACTCCCAGACGATATCTGCTGCAAACTGCACCGGATCAGGTTCCTTCGTTGCTCAGGATTGAAGAACAAAAAGAGCTGGAAAATACACGATAATGGGGCCCTTTTTCCTACTTACCGCATAGTTTTCAAATCCTAGAAGCAGAAATCGACATCGTCAGCTTATTATATCAAACTGAAAAAGTGATGTGTGCTGTTGAGGTAAGCCCCGATCTATACGGGGTGCCCGCAGGATGCTTGTCCGAAGCGGAAGCAGTAGCCGACCCAAAATCTGTCCGAAAAAAGACACGTGAGACATCGTCATCCTTCTTTCTCTCTTCTCCACACAGACCCTGTCCTCTTCCCTGTCCCCACCACTCATAACCGAAAAAACTGTAGGAAGTCATTTAAGTCAGTTTCCATCTTTGTGAAAATCAACACTCAACCCCCAACAATTGGGCTGATTGTCAATTTTTATTACAATACGTATTTCTACTACAACACGTAGAAACTTTCGGATGGTTCGGGGATAAATGGATTTGAATAGACAAAATATCTGTCATTCAAGACCACAGCAGGCTCCTTCCTTGCATTCCCTGACGTCCAAACACTGTAGCCCGTGCTTCCGCCGGTGAGAGAGGTGAGAAAGAGGGTGTACCATGACACACACGGGCGACATGAATGCACATTTGGCGCTACCAACGATCACAAAAACGACAACTGAACCACGACATATTTTATGGTGCACAAGGTTCCGTCCCACTATGCTCCGTTTCCCAATGTTAGTCTTTGTTTTGAAAAATACCTAATTTTGTACAGTCTACTT